CCCCCCCCCTCCCCCCCAGCCTGTCCCCAGGGCAGAGGGGCTCCAGCCCTCTGGTACCTTATCTGTACCAGATGCCTTACCAGGGGAGACGTATAAGGGGTGTGATGTCTGGGCCAGCCGTGTCTACTCAAGCGCACACACAGTTCTGACAGTGTCTCCCTCACGTGACTTGAAAAGGTTCGTTACTCCTCCTCTGTTCACCCCTGCAGGCTGGTATGAAGGGGAGCGGTTGCGGGATGGCGAAAGAGGTTGGTTTCCCATGGAGTGTGCTAAAGAAATCACGTGTCGCGCCACGATTGACAAGAACATGGAACGGATGGGACGCTTACTTGGACTCGAAACCAACGTGTAGAGCGTTCTGGCTACTTCATACTACACTACTGGATTTGCACTACGGGCTCGCAGGGGGGCACGGCTGCACACCTTACGGCTCTGGTGTGGAAGATGTGGCTCACCACTGCGAAAAAGCTAGTCACAGAGCACTGATGTTTCACGTCCTTATCCCTTTTTGGTTTGCGTTTCGAGAGCTCTGAACTGAAACCTGGCCCAACCGGATTCCAACCAGAAGTAGTTTCTCAGGCACTGGAGACCAGCCATGTGTCTTTTTGACTCAGATTTTGGTTTCACCTGTAGTTGCTCCATCCCTGCCTCTTTACATATCCTTTCTCCATCGGTTTCTAAGCATTCTGACTTTTCTTTCAGAAGCAGAACTCTAGCAGTCTGCATACGAGACTGAACGTCAGAAACACCCAGTCCCCCGAGCTGGGGGTGAATAGCCGTAGTGGGGGTTTCCTGCTCCCAAGAACTGCAGCGGTACAGTCGCGGAAGCAGCGTGGTGATGGGATTCCTCCCCGTGGTGTCCAGCTCTCTGTGAGCTAACCTGAAGGAGAATAACCAACCCCGTAACTCATGAAGGACTACCTCGCCAGCACAGGGCCGGGACTGTCCCAGTCTGTCAGACATAATCGCATCTCTCTCGTCAGTGTTGGCAAGCTGGCACACGCTCCAGGGAGGTGCCTCCAGTGGTGGTCTCCGACACAGCCTGTTACTCCTGGCAGCTCAGGCATTCCTCCTCCTAGTGCTGCAGTGGTAAGGATTTCTGAACACAAGAAAGAAGAGCACCAAACTTTGCAAAATACATGAATTTGATTATCTTGTGCTCAGGTGCATTTCAGCACAGGCAGTTTTGTGTTCCGTTTTCCTGTGTTTAACTAGCTCTTCCTAGTAAGTTGGGGCTTCAGAGCTCTGATGGGGACTGCAAAAGCATGAAATACTTTGTTCTGGGTTTGAGGGGTTTGGGGTTTTTTTGGCTTTTAGTCTTTCTGCTCTTTTGTACTAGAGGTTCTTTCCTTCTGTGGAGGCAGAAAGTTCAACTGAAGTTCAGCTTACCTACACCATTAACATTTGTGTTGGCATCACGCTGAAACCACAGGCAGAAAAAAAAAAAAAACAGAGGGAGAATGCAGCTCTGCAGAGCTGTGTGAAGGCGCCGGGGTCTTCTCCTCTCCCTGCTGTGTGTAGGTGGTAGGAGCACCACTGCGGAAGGATCGGGAGCAGACAGCTCAGTGCCTTGGTTAACACCTTCCCCTGCGGCAGTGCGACTGGGTGGCATCGGGCGCTACAGGCGAGAGAGGAGGGAAGATAGTACTTCAGACCTTGCCTTCAGGGGAGCTCGCAGCGGTGCTGCTTCACACCTGCTCTTCTCTGCTTTAGAGAAGCCTCACACTTGCACTGCACACAGCACGGGCTCCATGTTTGCACCTGCAGTTTAGCTTTGGAATTTCACAGAAAAACCCACTTACCTGTTGTGTGAACAAAATGCAGGCGGTAGTGAAGGAAGTCTGCATCCTTTCTGTGTACAGGTGGGACAGTTTGTGTTACAAAAATCTCCCCCCTTTACGGAGCAGCTGATAGCTCAGCAGAGTAGAAGACATGCTCAGTAACAGCGGGGAAAAACCTGTCCTGCAGAGGCTTCCTGGTTGCATTCCCCATCTATGGGGCTGTTGTTGGTTTATGGACTGTAACATTGATTGGATTTGGGAATGAAGTGGATGTTTATAAAGACGTATCTCTAACACTTTATATTAGGAAGGCAATAGTCTTGTACAAAACCACTTCCCTTGACAGCCTGACAGTGGTTATACAGCCTTGTAAATTAATTTATGAGTAGACTGAGTAATGAGAAACTGTAAATGGAACAGACCTATTTAACATAGTAAAAAATACTGCTAATATTTTAACAAATTTTATTGTACACAGATGTTTAACACATAACTGAATGTATAAATCCTGACATTAATTTTATTCAGATTTTTTTAATACACTGTATATATTTTTCATACCTAGTTTTTCCAGAAAATGCTGTAATGTTTTTTAAAAAGACGTTTTTAATTTTTCCTATTGTTGGACACAGTTCTTCAGGAATTAAAGACTTCCTATGATTTTCTAGGGCAACAATCAATAAATGCCTTTAAGTCTTTACTAAAAAAAGCTTCCATTTTTTTTCTTTAAGAAACACCATTAAACTGCAGGTTGTTAATGTCACAGAAATTCAATCTCTTCTGCAACCTGTGGCGTTTTAAGTTTTCCTGTTCTGTAAAGATAAGCAGCACCATCACATGTCCTACTTCATCTGTCAGGGATTCAGCTTACGGAGAGCACTACCACAAACGCAGGCCCTTGGAGCGCATCTCCTCTCCCAGAGACAGGAGCAGTTGAGAGCGTAAGGCTCTTCAGCTGCGTTGGCTTCCCGGAGCACAGCACAGTTCTGGGAGGAAGGGACCCACAACAATCATCTACTCCAGCCACCTCGGGGCTGACCGAGTGTCAAAGCGTGTTACTAAGGGCATTGTCCAAATGCCTCTCCAACACTGATCGACCACCTCTCCAGGAGCCTGTTCCAGGGTCTGACCACCCCCTGGGTAAGAAATGCTTCCTCCTGATGGACACAGCTTTGAGCCATTCCCAGGCTCCTGTCCCTGGACACCACACGCTCACCCCGCTCCCCCTCTCGGGAAGCTGCAAAGAGCAATGAGGTTGCCCCTCGGCCTCCTCCTCTCCAAACCAGACACAGCCCAGGGTCCTCAGCTGCTCTGAGGACATGCCTTCAGCCCTGCCACCAGCTCGCTGCCCCCTAAGAACCTGGCCCTGATCTCCAGTACATTTTGCTCACCTGACCTGAGGTGACTGTGCAGAAAATAATTCAAAATTAATCAGAGAGAAGGATTAAACAAGGTCTGACCGCAGAGCACTGGGGAAGTAGAAATGTTGGGTCCAGGCCCTGTGCTAAGGACAACTGCAGTATGTCCTGTTAGCACGAACTGCTGGAAGGCTGTATTGCAATTTTCTGCAATGCCTGACATAGCCGGGGGTCAGTACAGAAGGGAGATCCCTGGCAGCACTCTGGGCTACCTGGGAGCCTCCTCAGGAGCGGTGACAGCCTGGCCTCGGCCGAGGAGCTGCCACAGCCTCACTGCTGCAGGAGCAGCAGCTACCACTACACTCCGTGTTTGTGTCCCCCGCCTGCACCATATGCCTGAACAAAGGGTCCGCATGAAAAACGAGGCAGGGAGCTGCACCTCCTGAGGAGCAGCGAGTTTCCTAAGGAGGCAGCTCCAGTCTGGGCTACAGAATTCCCCCCAGCACAGAAATAAAAGGCTCTGGACCCCATTCCACATGGAGCTGGACAGACATTGACAGCACAACACGGACAACTGGTATGACCTGCTAAAATCTTTCTCTGTAGTCTGAACGCCATCACAGCTCAAAGAGGTCTCAGATTTAAGACAGAAGGCGCGCAATTTATCTAAAAGTTCACAAACAAGTTTTCAAGAGCTAATGGTGTTGGTTCTTCTGTGTTGTTTTTTTTCCCCTCTAGCAACTCTGCAATATTTTCATTAGCCAAAACAAGTTACTATCTTTTAACTCTGACTTGCTCTAAGATAATTAATTATTTTATCTTTTTAATTAAACAGCCTACCAGTGACAGCTGGTGGGAGCTTGTTAATGTATAATTAACTCAGATTTTCACAGGGCCTGGAATTTGTACCCCTTCCTTACATGGCTTCTCTAATCAGGTTTCAAGCAAGGTGACCAAAAACCAAACGCTCTCCCTTCCCTGAACCAAAGTTTCCTTTCACGTGATGCAACTGAACACGTTATGTCAGGCGGGCAGAAACCACACCAAGTCCAACAGCGCGTACGACCGGCCCCGCCATCAGGTACCTGCATGGATGAGAGCAAAATCTCAGGTTTACACGTACCCCTCACTGATGCCAAGCCCCTACGGAACTTCCGCACTGCGGGGGACCAGCCCACTGGGTCCCGGGGAGACCCGATGCCTCCAGCAGGTCTGTGGGCTCCTGGAGGCCATCGAGCTGCCCTGGAGAAAACCAGTGCTCACCCAGCACCAACCTGTCTCAGCAGTTCCAAAGCTCAAATGACAACTAAAGAACAGCTAACTCTGTCTTTGCTGCTGCTTTAGCTCACCCCTGCCAACAGAACATTCTTATCTGCTGAACTTTCTGAAAAGCAACACAGTGGTGCAGTACTGCACCTGACTCGTGTCAAGAGTAAATTTGCTCCCCGTTATGCAGAGCAGCTGAGCTGAAACTAGAAAGGTAAAAGGAACACCGCTTTATCCAACCTACACAACTTGGTGAAACGCAGTCTTTGTGCAGCACCGTACTTGCACGCACCCCTTTAACTCGGTATCTCTAGAACATACTCACACAAATGTCTTTTTTTCTCTATCCTGTTTCTAAGTAACACAAAACAAGTGAACACAAGTGTTACAAACCAACCTAGAGTAAATTCTGATGCCAAAATTGAGGAAACCTGAGGAGCTGTGGCTTCCTGGGAATTAGAGAGTTCAGTGGTTCACTTAGCTCTACCCTAGTCTGCAAATGATTTTCAACACCTGTTCGCAACAACGACATCATTTAGGCAAACTGGAGAGAACACAAAGCTCAGGAAGAACTAATTACCTCCACCAAGTTGTTTCATTCCATAACCTGGACTTCCGAAAGATGCTAGAACAGGCAGAAACAGCCTTCATGAAGTGGACTGTGAACTGGGAAGAGAAACATTCATGGTCTCTGGCTAGCCATATGGGAAGAGTCAAAAACCTGACATCAGCAGCACCACATCGACTGCTTAGTAACCTGATGGCATGGCTTAGCCCTGGTGTGCAGCCACCCACCCAGCCCCACACTCACTGTCCCCCGGTGGGATGGCGAAGAGGATCAGAACAGTAGAAGTGAGAAAACCCATGGTTTGAGATAAAGGCAGTTTAATTGATAAAGTGAAAGCAACATCAGGTGTTCATTCTCTACTTCCCATCATAGGCAGGTG